GACTAGGCGCTGACCCCGGGGAGGGTGGCGGTTCCCGCGCGGGGGCAGGGTCGCAAGACGAGGCGTCCGACTCCGCGCCGTCGCGCTCGGGCTTGCAGTGTTCCTCGTACAGCCGCAGGGACGGCAGCGTTAGCTGCTTCCTGGGGATGAGCGGAGGGAGCGGGTCAGAGGCGCGTGCACACAGCCCCGCGTCCTGCTCGCCTAGGCACCCTCCGTGGAGCCGGCTGGCTCACCCCTCACCTTTTCTCCCGCCGGCCATTCCCGGTGTCCCGGAAGCCCTTGGCAAACGGGTTGTTGTCGATCTTCAGCTGCGTGATCTGCGGGGGGGACGGAGGGGGCGGCGCCAGGTCAGGAAGCGGCTCCTCCAGCCTGGCCTGGGGCACCCCGAGGTCAGAGGAGGCCGGCCCAGAGGAGAGACCCGCGCAGGTCCGCTTGGTACCCGCCCGCCTGGGATAGGACGCTCCCAGCTGGAGAACGAGGTGAGGCCGGCGGGCCTCGCGGGAAGCCACGGGGGTCTCTCCTCCAAAAACTTTATTCGAGGCATATTCTCTTACCTTCTACACACAAGCCCAAAGCTGTGCGCAGAGCAGAGATCTGCCCAAGCATGCACCCAGGGCCACTCGGTCACTCAAGTTAAACAAACCGGGCATCTGAGCAGGCGCGCACAGGGACAGCAGAGCACACGCAAGTCCACAGCACAGGCACAGATCACACCCACGGGCCCACGCACACGCAAGCACACACAGACAAAACAAACAAGTGCCCACAGAACCAAACGAATCCGCACACCTCCACACGTATCCAAGGCGCCCAAAAGGTTGCCCGCATACCCGCATACACATCGTCTCACAAAGACAAAAAGAATGACGGGCAGGGCACTTGGACACTCTCTGGAGAGGGGTACACACGGGCACAGGCCCAGAGGGAGTGCTTCTCTGCCCCTCTAGAGAGAGAGTGTAGAAAGGCAGCAAGAAGAAAAAGCCCTTTAACTTAGAGGAAAAGTCTCTAAACACCTCCCAAGGGGTTGGGGCCTGGTCAGATGCGGGGGGTGCTTTGGGAAGCTGTGTCACCTGTCCCGCCCTCTGGCACCCCCTGGGAGAGTGAAAACTGGGCCCTGGGTTCCTATCGCTGGTTTCCAAGCCGCCAGGAAGCCAGGGCAGATTGCCTCAGGCTCCCTCTCTTCATTTAAATTCCCGTCCCTGAGCCAAGAAATAAACGAATAAAATGTAAAAATGTCAGCGCGGTCCCGGAGTCTCTGCTAATTGCTAAGTAAACATCCCCACCCCAACGAGCGCCCAGCTGTTCGGGCGCCCGGGGAGCCTGTGTGTACGTGTCACCGACTTGGGAGGGAGCCTGGGGGATTTCGGTGGGTGCTGCGTTTACGGATGCAAGACTTGGTGCTGGGGAGTGAGCTGTGAGGGCGCAGGGTGGGTCCTGGCGGCTTGGGGCAGATGTGAGTGATGGCTTGGAGCCTGCAGGTGTAAGGGGGCGTCGGTGCAGGGCCTGGGCCCGCTGCCCACCCAGCGCACCTTGTCATTCTGGTAGGCAGTGACCGCAATGAAGTCGGTCTCCGGGAACACGTAGGTGCGGAAGGTGCTGTAGGGCAGCTTCAGGATGTCGTTGGCTCTCACGATGTGGAAGCGCGGTTGGTACTTGTGCATGGAGTTCAGGATCGTCTGTGGGGAGGGCGCGGGTCAGCCGGAAGCCCCCAGCCTTTGGCCCCAGCACTTCTACTCCCTGGGGACCCAACCTCTTTGCAAGTCTCTGTCTCTTTCTTCGTCTGCCTCCAGCACCCCCTCCTCTGTGATTTTCTCCTGTCTTCTCTGCCCCTTTTCTTGCCTATATTTCTTTTTCTTCTATTTTCTCCTGTTTTCTTTATCGCAGTTTCTCTTTCTCCACTTAAAAAAATTACCCCAGTTGAAAGCAGAAATAAAACAAAATAAAAACCCCATAAAACTCCACTCTTAACCTCTCTTCCTGGGCTCATTGCTAAGCCCCTAGTAACTCCACCGAGAGAAGATGTGGACCTTCCAGGGGCTCAACAACTGCCCTACCTCTGAATGGGCAGTCCCTTTTGCCCCATCAACTCCCCCCTCCCATTCACTGGGGGCCTGGCTCAGGCAGAAACGGAGAGAACCCCCAAACTCCCTCCTCCTGGTGGGGCATCTGCCTGTGGGAGGAGGGAAAGGAGTCTTAGGATGTGAAGGGGGCTGGTTTAACTTTTGAATCTCCTAGTTTGGGGGGGAAATGGGGACAGGGGTCAAGGGGAAGGGCGAGGAAAAGCTGAGGTCGGGGGCAGGACTTCCAAGCTCAGCAGTTAAAGACCAGAGGCTGCACAAATGAGTCCCGGTCGCACCTGCCTCCCGCTGGGCTCTAGGAAGAGTTTTGGCAGGCCTGACCCCAGCCGAGATTATGAGCAGCCTGGAGCTTACCGCCCCACAACCCCTTCATTCCCCAGGCCTGCGGAGCCCTCGGGACCCAGCGTCAGCCAGCACAGGCCACAGGGCAGTGACCCGAGCAGGGGCACTCCGAGGGTTCGGCCAGCGCTCCCCTCCGGGGAATCCCGCCGCCTGCTCTCCCGCCCCCACCCCCTGCGGCACCGGATGCGCAGTATCCGACCCCCTTCCCTGCGCCCGCCCAGCACTCACGAAGCCATGCTTGTCGGAGATGTTGTTGGTCAGTTTCAGCTTGTGGAAAGCCACAGGCTTGGCCATCCACTGCTCTCCCGTGGCCGGGCTGTCCGGGTGGATGTACATGCGTTTGGGCATCTCAGGGTCGGCCTTTCCCGCCACCATCCAGCGCGAGTTATGGAATTTATACCGGCAATCGTCAGCGGCCACAATGTCCATGAGCAGGATGTATTTGGCCTTCTTGTCCAGGCCGCTGACTCGCACCTTGAAGGGGGGAAACATCCTCCTGCGGGAAAGGGGAAGGGGAAGACTCCATGGAACCCGGTTTTATGTCTGAGGACCCCACTCCCGGGTACGCACCACTGCCAGGAGCTTCCCCATCTGTTTCCCTGCTGTCGCTGCTTTGCCCCCATCTCACTGCCTGGGAGACCCCACCTGTGGTTGTTATTCCTGGGGGATCCCATTTCCGCTTGTCAAACCCTCTCTTACTATAGGGTTTCCCATCGGCCCTATCCTCAGGTCTGGTGACTGTCTTTCTCCCTCATCCCAGATGAAAGCCGATGTCCAGGAAAGAAATCCAGGGCCCCCTAGAATTACACCTGCTTCTTTTGAATCTCCCCAAAATTCATTCAGGGGATATGCCCACGGGGACTGAAACTCCCCAAAATAAAACCAGAAGATGTCTGCTTGGGGAACTGGGTTACAGCCGAACAAGAACCTTAAGTTTCGGGGGAAGAGGGTGAACCTGAGGCCTGGATTCTCGGTGGCTGAGTCGAAGGGTGGAGGCATGGGGACTGTGATTTTCTTCTGGCTTTAAGGCCTAGAGCGGTGTGTGAGCAGGGAGCTCCTCGCTCCGTGGGCCCGGACAAGGCTCCCAGCCCAGGTCAGGCAGCAGCTGGGCCCGCTCGGGGCTTACTGCCGGATCGGAATGGCGGGCTGGAATCAGCTGGCCAGCCTGGGCCTAGCATGGTGCGAGTCTCATTCTGGGTTCCAGGGTCAGAGGACAGTCCGGGAGATGCTGCACCTCCCCGGAGCTCCGAGAGCCAGACCCGGAGGCAGGAGAGCGAGGCGGCAGGGCTGAGGAGCCGCAGCCGAAATCTCGGAGATCCGCCCGGGGCCGAGCCTCGGGGCCTCCTCGGCTTTGGGACTCACAAAGGTTGGGACTATTCTTTAGGAGCGTGTGTTCGTTTTATTTCATTCGGGAGATTTTGATGGTTCAGTTTTAAAAAATTCGCTCAGTGCCAAATGAGAAAAGTCACCTTGGATGTCTGTGGGAGCTAAGCGTGGCGCCGGGGCCCGGGCCGGAGCCGGAGCCGGGAGCCGCGAGCCGCGAGCGGCGGGCTCGGCGCTGGTCGGTGCTGTCGGGTGCCCCAGCCCGCCCGCCCGCCTGCATGCCCGCCGGCCAGCCAGCCGCCCTACCTCCCAGACTTGGTGATGACCATCTCGGTGCCCAGCTTGTGGAACTGGTCCCACAACTCCTTGGCCTCCAGCGTCACCTTGGGGTCGTCCTCCACCTCGTCCTCGGGCTCCAGGCTCTTAAGCGAGCGCAGATGCGCGGCGGGCGGGTGCGGGCCGAGTGCCGAGACGTGCAGCCCCGCCTCGGCCGCTGCCGCCGCCGCGGCCGCCGCGGCCGCCGCCCCCGCCAGGCCCGGGTCGGGCAGCGGCTTGGCCAGCGCGCCGGGCGGCAGTGCGAGCGCCGGGAAGAAGGAGGGCTGCGCCGCCGCCAGGAAGGCGGACATGGGAAAGTCGGCCGGCCGTGGCGCGTGGAACGGGTGGTAAGCCATGGCGCTGGCCGCCAGCGCCGGCTCTCTCATCGGGACATCCGGCCCAGGCGCCCAGGGGCCGGGGCCGGGGGCGCGCGGCTCGGACCCCCGGCCCGGGCGGCGGCGCGCGCGGAGGAAGGGCGACTCGGGTGGCAAGCGCAGCGGCGGCTTCTCCCGGCTCCCCGTCCGGCGCACGGCGAGGGGCGCTGGGCTCTGGGCGCGGGGGTGGCGGGGGCTCTGAGCGGGGCTGGGCTGGGCTGGCCCGCTCCGGCGCCGGGGACCACGCGCGACTGGTTAGATCTTGTCGTGATCTCTGGAAAACTGTGACTATCTCACATGTCCTGCCCTGCTCGGATCCCCTGCGCTAACGAGCCAGGCCCCCCTTGATTGCTGATTTTACGCTTTTTGGACCAATTGTGGGTCTCCGGGGGCGGGGTTTTGACAGCTCAAGCCAAGCTCCGGCCGGGAGGGGGGGCCGGGGAGAAGGTGTCGGAAGCCTCAGCAGTAAGAAAACATGTCAACAGAATAAAATATTAACCAATGACGGGCCAGCGGGCCCCGAGACCCCTCCCCCTGCCCCGGCCCCCACCCCGCCGCCCGCGCCCGCGGCTGCCTGCGCCCGGACGGGAAAGCGCGGCGGGCCGACCCGACCCGCCGAAAGGGCCTGAGGCGGGGGGCGCCCGGGTCCCAGGGCCCTGGGGAAGGACCCCCAGCCGCACGCCGGCTCCAAGTGCAAAGCATTGACACGGCCCCGAGAGGAGAGGGGGCGCCCTCCTCCCTCGCCCGGCGGCCCGGCCGCTCTGGCCCGCGCCCCAGCTTGGCCTCCGACCCCGCTCTCCGCTGCGGCGCCGCCCGGGGCCCCTGCACTCCGGCGGGGGCTGGAAAGAGACGCCGGTGGGCGGAGGTCCTGGAGCGGAACCCAGGTGGCGGGAGCCGGTGAGTGGAGCGGTGGTAGAACCCCGGCGGGGCCGGCGCGGGCGGGAGGGGGACGCGGCCTTGCACTCGGGAAACGCGGCTACCCCTGGCCCGCGCCTCCCCCTCACAGGAAGACTCGGGAGGAACGTGGAGTTCCCGGCAAGCCCTGAACTCAGCCCAGTATCTGTCTGCGTCCCGGATCCGGTCCTGAGCCCTCCGACGGCCCGGAGAACCGGTCCTCGGGGCTAGGAAGGTGAGCGCATCTCCCGCCGAGCACAGGGAGGCACGGCGCGGGCTGATCCCGGTTCCCAGATTCTTGAGCCGCGACCCAACGAATTTTCGCCGCATCCGGTACCGGAGACCCAAGTCTCCCTCATCCTAAACAGCGGCATCGTCTCTCCGCTCTCCGCCACGTTCTTACAGTTTGTTTCCGTCTCTCCGAAGCGTAGGTCTCCCAAGTTCAGTAGTTCCGAGCAACGAGTGTGAGGGTCGGAGGGTCTGCGCACACCTGTGGTTGAATCCACCCGCCCCCCCAGTCTTCGTTCTTCAGGAACCCCACTATTTCCCCCCGCCCTATGGTGTGTGTGTGTGTGTGTGTGTGTTGTGCCCAGTACGGCCGTGCCCACTGTGCGCGCGTGAGCCGCAATTTAAGGAGGGCGCCCAGGGAGTGAAGAGGCCACACACCTGCCTTGAGTCGGGCTCGGGCGCGGACACTCAGACTGATTCCTGGTGGTCGTGTTCTAAAGGACAAGAAGGACCACATAACTACACATGGGTGACACTCCTGCCCGCACAACCTATATAAGTGCGGGCGAGTTCGGCTGGCGAGGGCCCTGTGCCCGCGTGGTAGACGCGTACAGCCCACATCCAACAGTGACCCAGGCAACACTGCCCATCCGTTGCGCACACCCAGTCACAGGGCACCTTGTCGCTGCACACTCGGACCTGGCATGTAAAGCCTGACGGCTTGGAGCAGTGCGGATTAGGGACGGGCCAGAGCTGTTTGACCTCCGCGACCTTTTTTCTACTTTTCCAAGCCAGTCCCGGAGCCCTCGCAGCTCCCTTACCCGGCTCGCGAACGAGCGCCGCCCCCACAGAGTTTCTCTTCACGACCCTGCTCGTGGCTGGGTCGGGTCGCTCCTCTCTGAGCGCCTCCTCTCTGTCCAGAACGAATCTTCGACTCCGCGCTGCGCAGTCTACGCAGAAGGGGCAGGATCCGTTGCAGCTTTGCACAAAGTCCTGCCGGCTCCATTTAGGCGGGATATGGCCCCTCAGGGAGGGACGTGTGTGGGCAGGTTTGCGCAGTGGGTGAGGTGACCAGATAATAGGGCAGCGTTCCTTAGCCAGGAATCCGGGGACGGGCTCTGGAGAATCCGTGAATACATTTGCAAAGTCGTGCGTGTACACATACTTCTGTGCCCATAAGAATGTGTGTACACCTAACTGCAATTTGGACATTTTCTTGGGAAAGGTCCGTAGCTGGTCCAGGGGTCCAAGGCCGGGAGAGTTCGAAACACGCTGGCCTGGGTTGTTTGCCGGAGAACCCCGGCGCCGGTGCATGGCTGCATTTGGGGACCACGATCCCACCTGGCCACAGCCACTGGGTCACCGACTTGCCCTCCCGCGGCCACAGGCTCTTTCCGGCCAGGCCCCTGTCGTCTGCCCTGCCTTTCCGTCCCGCAACCAACCTGAGATCTTGCTACAGGCGCTCTCAAGATTCTGAATCTACCCCCCAGCCAAACTCTCCACCGAGGAGTATCCTTGACTCCTCGAAAACCCACGGAGGGGAGGCCCAGGAGGCCTCGGAGCGGCGCCTTGAGGCTCCCAAGCTCCTGCTCGGCCCCTCCCCCACCTGGGTCTACCCCTCTTCCCCTTCCCGGGAACAGGCGCCTCTAGGGGGGTCCCCGGGGCTGAGAGTTCGTGTCTCTTTAAGAGGCCCCGGGGGGCGCCTCGCAAGCCGCCCGGGGCTGGAGGGGGGAGGGCACGGGCGGGGGCGGCTGGCGCCAGGCGGCCGAGGCTCCACAACAAAGCTCCGGCCCCTGTCACTTCGCATCGGCCGGGCCCCGCAGACGGGCGGGGGACGCGCGCTCAGCTGCCCCTCCCTCTCCCAGGCAGTCCTGGGTCCGGGCGTCGGGCGGGCGCGGGCCTCCCGGCCTCCAGCGGGTGGTTGTGCGCCCCCAGTACGCTCCGCGATTCCCGCAACAAGGAAATCGGGCGCGGGGGTGGGGGGGGGTGGCGGCCTGGGCCGGGTGGTGCCTTGGTCCTGAGCCTGGCTGGGCCGCCCGCCCGTCCTTGGCCCCGTAACATTTCGCGGGGTCAAGGCCACTGTTGGGACCTTCCCGGGGTTGGGCCTCGCCGGTGTCTTTGCTCTGTGTGACTGGGCGTGGACCTGAGTGCGCCCGCGTGGATGGCTTAGGGTATATGGTCAGTGGCACAGGGGACGTGCGTCGGGTAACGGGGCGCTGTCGTGAGACGAGTACTAAGGATATGATTGTGCCCGGGCTAAGCTCAGGTGACGTGTGTGGCCTATGCGTGTGACCAGCAGTGGAGGTGCCACTGGGCGCCTGTCCCCATCTTGGCGCGTTGTGTGTGTGTGTGTGTGTGTGTGTGGTGGGGGGTGCGGGGGAAGACACAGAGTTGCTTCCCAGCCCCGCGCTTCCCGGCCCGACCCGCGCCTCCCGGAGTCTTGGCGCCAGCCAGCCCCGTTTAGCGGCCGGGCCCGGCTCCCCCGCGGTCCCGGCTCTGGCTGGGGTGGGGGCCGCGGCCTCGATGACCCCGGCCCGCAGCGGCCCGGCCTGTCCCGTCCACTTAGACAAATTGCGGCTGACAGGCGCGCAGTCTCTCTGGAGTCGCCGCCCGCCCGACGCCTCCCTCCCGACCCAATTACCCCGCGCGGGGTCGGGCCAAATGGCTGGGATGGGGGGCGTGGGGAGAGCGGGAGGCGCGACCTCTTCACGGCCCGCGTGGTGGCCCCGGCCTTGCTCCAGGAAAGGCGGCGGGGACACTTTTTCCGGTGAGGTCCCGGGAAGTGCCTGGGCAGACACGGCCCGTGTGGCCCAGTCCCCAGTCTTCCAGGCTAATGCGAAGACGAGGCCCCTCCTGGCCGCTCGGGTTCAGGACCTACCCTGCCTTTGAAGGGGGTCGCTTTACACCCGATGGCGAGGTGCGTTGGCCGGCAACCCAGGGTGCGTCCCCTCCGGCCTTTTGCCGACTTCCCCAGAGTTTTGGGGGCCCTATAACCCTGGGAGCTCCAGACTATTAGCTGCTCTGGGGTCTTAGTCCCTTGGTGGCCGCTGTCTGCTTGGGAGCAGGGGTCGGCCCAAGTGAGGTGTACGTGTGTGAACCTGCGAGCGCGTGGACGTGCACAGCTGTGAAATGGTTGGGTGTGGGTGCTTGGGATCACGGCGGTGAGAGCAGGTCATGCTGTTGCGGGGCTTGAGAGAGGGGGCAAATCTCTTTTTTGGGGGGCAACTCTCTTAAAGGACCCCTGAGACCAGCCCACCTGAGAGAGAGGGGGCGGGGCTGGCCTGCGCGCGCTCGCCAGGATCTGGATTCGCTTTCCCAACGCTTTCGCAGGGAGCGGCCCGGGATTTCCTGGCGCAGCGTCGTCGTCCCGGGCAGCGCCTCACAATCAGGGTTCCAGCTGGGTCGTACCCGCCCTCCCTTCCCCGAGGGAGAGCTACCTGGCCTGTCTGGTCAGCCTCGGGGCCTCCAACCAACCTTTTGCCTTTTTAACCGGTAACTTCCTCTCTGCTGGCTTCAGCCTGGTTGCTCTTCTTGGCAGGACGTGCACCTCTCCCCCTATTTTACAGATGAGGACCCCGAAGCCCAGAGGGGCAGTAATTTGCCACGCAGCTACCAGTGGCAGGGCTGGGATGGGACCTTGGGACCTTAACAGAGAGCAAGGCCGTCTCCACTCCTTAGCAGCTGGTGATGTCACCGCGGTCCTGACTTACACAGCAGGGCAACACTGAGATTTCAGGGCCCCACCGTCAGGCTGGGCTCTTGTTTTGAATACAAGACAGACAAGACACTCTCTCCCTTTGCCCCTAGAGTTTCCAGCTGTAGGTCTGCAGGAGGGGGCCGCCTTTCCAAGTTACACAGGGACAGGGAGCAGCTTCAAACGTCAGCCAGGGGCTGGGTCTGGAAGCTCTTAGGGGTAGGGGATGGAGATGAGTGGGATCAGAGTCTTGGATTGTGTGGGGGCGCAGGACAGGGAGGTCAGCACAGAATCCCGCCCTCGAAGGGAACTGGGCGGAGGCATAGGAGGCAGCAAGAAGCAGAACGAGGTCAGATTAGCTGTGTGACTTTGTAACCCTGGCCAAGGCCCAGGCCTTCTCTGGGGCTCCGGCTTCTCATCTGCAAAATCAGGACCAAGCGGTACTCTCTTAAGTACTTTCTAGTTCAGAAATTCTCTGGTCTGTGCAAATCAGAAAAATCAGCCCTTGAGAAACCACTTCCAACCCCAGCCTGGCAGCTGCCTGCCCTGGCCTCTGCTTGCTTCCAGAGCCCATACTACTGTTGGACAGAGCGCTCGTGTGCCTGGATTTGCCTTGGGACCACTGGGCCTTCTCTCAAATCAATCCCAGACATTGCCCTCCCTCCTTGAGCTGCCACCCCAGCTCCCATCAGCCTCTTCACAGACCATGAAGATATTTTTTCCTCCATCAAATTGAGAGAAAGTCCATGGTAATTTGCCCTTTGAGCAGGTAGCACTGTGAGAATCAGGGAGATCACATGGCTTCCTCAAGGTCACTCGGTCAGGCCACAATTAGATGCATGTTCTGATGGCCTCCTAGGTGATGGCATCATGGAGGTCTGCTGGGCTGCTGGGGGGGGCGGTGAGGTGGAGATTGCCCTTGGTGTTATCTCTAGAGGATAGGAGGCTGGCTGCTCCAGGGCCAGTGGGCAGTAAGGTCCCCCACCCAGGGGCCTAGATCTCACTTCCAGCTGATTACAGGCTGTGGCAGGGTCCATAACCTCCCCAATTAGCCAGGGGCCAGGCCCAAGGCCTCTTTGATAACCTGAGCCCTGTGGCAGCCGCCATGGGGCCAGCTTATCTGGCCTTTCTTATCCTCCCCCTTCCCCCACATACTCAAAGACTTGCCCTGGCTGTGAGCAGATGAATAACCAGATTGTCCTGCAAGCTCAGCCGGCAAGTCCAGCCCTACACCCACAACTTTCCCTGACTGGAGGAGGCCACAGATGTTTTGCACCCCCTGGAGGGAAAGGGCTGAGCCAGGGAGGACTCCTGACTCTAAGCTCCCAGCCAGTTCCCTGCATGGTTGGAGAGAGCTCCCGGCTCTCCATCTTTGCCCCAACCACGAACCCACGTGGAGGCAGAGGGGCTCACCTTTCCTAGAGCTCTGGACCCATCCCCAGGGGCAGCCTGGCAGCACCCCTCTCCCTGACCTCTTTTGGACAGAAACACTGGTCTGGCGGGGGGTTGGGGCTGTGCCAGGCACATCAAGGTCTCTGATTCAGCCGAAATGGGGGAAAAGCTGCTGCTAGTCTGGCAGCCCCCAGGGGCCGTGCCTAGACCTGCTTACGTTCCCAGCATGCCTCTCTGCAGCCTGTGATTCCTTACCTACCACCATTGCAGGCCCCAGACGGGAGGGACTGGCTTCAGCCACCCTATCTACGTAAGGCCGTCTACTCAGCCTGCAGAGCCCACTGTGATTCAGGTCCCGCTTCGCCCAATATGCCCAACTGACCCGGTGGCAGGCACTGACGACAAAATCTCCTCTCAGGTGTCATGGGGTGCACGTGAAGGGGGCACAGACCCCAGGAGCTACTCTGGCTCCATCTGGACGGTTGCATGGGAATCCTGGCTTGTGAACTCAACTCTCCCGAGGCTGTTACATTAAACTTTACCCCAAACCACACCTGGCTCAGTGGGTTTTCTTCAATCCTCCCAGGCCCCTCTGGGTTCTCAGGGAAGAGGGGGGACTGGGGCTCGCATTAGTCTCCTTCCTGCTCGATACCCCTTTTTGCTCCTCCTGTTCCCATCTCCTTCCTGCCTTTCAAGTCAGGTCTGGAATTGGGAAGGGGTGGGAGAGCAAAATCAGGAACCTGTCATCCAAGGTTCTAGCCAGGATTCATGAGACCTACCTACACCTGACCATCCTTCCACCTTCTGAGTTGGAAAAGAGAAGCAATTACAAGGTGCCTGCCCCAAAGATAAGGCTAGCATCCTCAGGAGGCTCTCTGTCCCCCAGCAGCCCCCCACCCCCACCCCCACACATGTCAAGGACTGGACTGGCCCTGACTGCTGCAGCCGGTGTGCGGGGCGGGGGGGGGGGGGCTCCTGGCCTGTGTGGGGCCTCTTGAATTCACTGGCTCTGGTAACCAGCAAGAAGTTTGGAGAATGAATTTAAATTCGGCCCTACCCAGATTGCAGAGCAAACATTCTCCTTCCCCTTCCTACCCCCTCACTGACCCTCCAATCAGTTGCTCATGTCGAGGCAAAGGGTGCTGGGAGCAGGGACACACGGTTGGGTCCACAGGACTCTGCTCGGGGCTTGGAGAGGACCCTGACCACAGCAACACAGGGATGGACACCAATTATAGCGTGATTTATTGGACAAGACATGCACTTTTTGACAGGGCCTTAGTAACCACGGTTTCCTTCACTGGACAGTACAGGACCAGGGTAAAAGGGCTTACAGACAAGAACGACAAATCCTTCCCATGAGCCAAAGGGGAAAGAAAAGAGGAAGGGGGGCTTCTCCTTCCTTCCTCCCTCCTTCCCTAATACTCTGGGCCTCAGTTTACCTCATGCCAGAGTGAGGTTGGCCAAGGGAAACTGGGCAGTGCATCTCATAGCCAGGAGTGGGCTGGGGCTGTCCGCTCAGGGTCAAAATGCCCAGCCAGGCCATCCGCGCTCTCCCCTTCCAGGCCCCCCGTGGGTATGGTTAGAAAACACAAAAGTGGATCCAATGCAGGACATCATGTGCAAACGGAGGAGGGGACAGAGCTTCTGCAGTCTCCTTCAGCCAGGGCCCCGCTGATGGGGGACAGAGGTCAGAATGCGCCAAGGTGCTTGGGAGAAGGGGCTCTTCTCCATCCGGGGAGGGTAGGTGGCTGTTGTCACTAAGCTTGGGGAAGGTGGTTGGTGAAAGAGAAGCAGAGACTGAAGGGTAGGACCAAGAGGGGGGCTTCTCCCCCTCCTTCCAGCAGGTGAGTGGGCGGGCCAGTCAGAAGCAGGTTGCTGGTACTACGGGAAGCCAGTAGGGAAGAGGCTGAGGGGCTGACTCTCATTGGTGGGCAGTGGAGATCGGTAGCCATCGAAGTTTCTTGGGATGCTGCCGCTGGTAGAACCTGAGCTGTTACTCAGTGTCTCGATGCTTCCCTCTCGCTGTAGTTCTGTAAGACAAAGGAGAGGACCAGGCCTGGTCAGAGCGGGGTCTGGGGGAGTGGGGCACACCCTGGGCCGGGCTGTCTGCCTGGAGGCACCTTCCAGAGGGGGGATCCCCACCTGCTCCCCAGATGAGCCATGCAGCAGCTCCGGTCACAGGGAGTTCAGCCGAAGGAGGGAGAAGCTCCCTTGGCTGGCAGAGTCCAGTTTTAGGCCACAGTCTTTCCCTCGTTGTGGGAACCCCTTTAGGCCAGAAGTCTGGCCACCCTGCTGATTGGTCTGGACCACACTGCCATACATGGGACACGTGCCCACACCTGCACACATACTCATGCTCAGCCAGCATGCTCCCCGATTCCGGAAGTGGCTCCGGTCCTGGATCTACAGGTCAGGCAGGCAGGAGAAAAGCCAGAACACGGCAAGGACTGCAGCTTCCCTGCCTGATCTGTCCCTACCTCTCCTCCCTGGCCCTGCCTGCTCCCCAGAGCTTCCACCCTGGCTTAGCAACTCACTTGCTCACTCATTCTGACCCACACAGTCTGCCTGCTGGCCAGGCCACCACTCATCTCTGGCACCTCCTGGAAAGTATCCTGTTTCCCTGGAGGAGGGAATGCCTGGTTGGAGAAGGACCTATTCCAACGGAGAGAAGGTCCCTGCTTGCCTGCAGTGCCTCCTTTCTCCCTTTCTCTTAGCCCCCAAGTGTCCTGGGGGCCCCTCGGAATGCAGAGTTGCCCTGGGAAGCAGGTGGGGAGGCTCCCATCCCCTCTGCCGCTCCTTCCCTGGCCCTCCCACAGCCATGCTGCCATCTTGGATACAGCAACTGGTCCTATCTCATTCAGTTGTGGGAACTTTAATTGCTCCCCAACCCCCAATCTCTTGACCTAAGATAGGTACTGGGGCAGGTGGGTTGGGAATAGACTTCCCAATGTATGCATGCTGCATACGAGAAGAAGGAATTACTTCTTGGCTTTTGCAAGTGGCTAGTTCCTATCCCCTTTCAGTCCCTCAGAGTGGGCTCTGAGATGTGGGCACACACATCTCCGGGAAGACTCTGGGAGTGTACCCCAAGCCAAGATGTGGTGATCTGCAATTTCTCCTTCTCCAAGGTACACTCGCCTGGGACTGAGAGGGTCTTGCCCGTCCCCCTCAGGAGCTCAGGACCTCAAAGCAAACTTGAAATAGCAAAGTGTGCTTGAGTGTTATACTTGTCTGGTCTGGCTTGAGCCCTTTATCTCCAGCCTGCCCCCGCTCCCAGCACCCGCCGCCATATGCATGCAGCACAGCTAGCTTTGGTTAGGGGAGGAGTCATGGCCTTCACTCTTGGTCCGGCCATCGGCAGCCAGCCAGGAACTAACCACTGACTCCCCAAAGCACAGAAGCTGCCCAGCGGTAGCAGCCGCAGAATGGGATGGGAGAGTCTGTGCTGCCCTACTTCAGAGCAGGCGCCTGGACCCAGGAGTGAGGGGCCTTCAGGCTGCACCAGCCACATCTGGAACCTCGACACTGGAACCTCGCAGCAGATAGGGGGCAGTGGAAGGAGGGGGCTGTGGACACAGGCTGTGGGCCCGATGATGGTCTCAATCTCCAAGAGGCACTGGCTTCCCTTTTGGGCCAGAGACCCTGGGATACGTCAAGAGTTATCTAGATATGGACAGAAAACAGGGCAGGTGGCTACCGCATGAGCTCTGTCTTCCCTGCTCGTTCTCTGGTCTCACCCTAATTTGGGAGTACAGACCCTGTGCCAAGAGAGGGAGAAGATGGGAAAGCAAAGAACAGACCCTGGGATTTCTACGCGGAAGTGTCAGACTCCAAGAAATCTTCCTTCGTTCCCCTCTTTGCCCACAAGCAAGCCAAGGAGTGTGTGGGGGATCCCGGAGGCCCCGTTTGATTTCCGAGACCCTTGCCCTCATGCACAGCCGTCCTGGCACTAGGGGGCGCTGACAGCAGGGCCAGGAGGGCAGGAGAGAGGCGCACTGGCAGGAGCAAGGAAAGCAGGGGTTTCCTCAGGATCTGGACACCAGGCCCAAGCAAGAAAGCCCCAGATGAAGGAGCAGGAAAGGCCACTAGAATGGGAGAGGCTGGCCCCTTTCCAGAGCTGGGGGACAGGCCCAGAGTTCTTGATGAAGAGTGCCGACACATCCACGCTGCCAAGGAGGCGGAGGAGACTGGAGCCCAGAACCAAGCACGGCACCCCCGCTGCCCCTTGGCACAGGCCCAGAGCAACCCCCTCAGCAGTCTCAGAGGCCCCACTCCGTAAGTCTGAGTGGACGCACCTCATCCCATCATGTGATAGCGCAGGGACAGTGGCCAAAGGAACTTGCTGCTCTTGGGGGCCAGGTATGGCCTGACCGGCCCGGCTCCTATTTTCTCTCCACCCATCAGGCCTGGGGTAAGACGGGAGTGGGCAGACTCCCCCCTTCTCCCCCGCCCCCCCCGCACTTAGGCCTTTGATTCCACCTAGATGATTTCAAGAACTCCCTACCGGTCTCCCGACCCCCCGGCACCCCCCTCTCCAACCCGCCATACCAAACCCAAGTGGCTCATCTGCGACACAAACCTCATCTTGCTTTTCCTTTGCTTAAAAACCTTCATTGCTCCTCGAGTCCTCAGCATCAGATCTAAAGTCAGCACTACAACATGGCCTTTCACGACCTGCCCCCAAGACCCCACCTCACTAATGGCACGTTATTGAATTCGAAGCACCAAAGTAAAATGCCCTTGTGCAGTTTTGGGATCTCTCCAGGCTGCCTCAGGCCCCCCGGGGGCCTGTGCTTACGCCATTCCCTTTGACTGAAAAGCCCTTCCCAGGCTCGCCTGGCCCCCAGAACACCTACTCATCTTCCAAAGGTTAGCACAGGTGTCCACGCCTCTGTGAGCCTGTCCTGTTGCCCTGGCAGCACCAGCCAGGCCCCGCTGGGCTCCGTCCTCCCTCCCGCCCCAGGCCCTCTAACTCTGCACCGTCTGTTCACGTGTGTGTCCCCACACGGGGGCAAAGCCCCTCGGGGGCTGCTTCTGGGCCTTATCTCTGTTTCCCTCATGCCAACCACAAGGCCTGGAAAACAGCTGGTGCTCAAAAAACATTTCCTGAACGAATGATGTGGTAAGGAGAGGCGGGAGCTGCTCTTCAGCATGGACTATCAATAAGAGAACCAGGGGCCTGGCTGGACCGGGCACTTTTCTGTATGCCTTCTATCACCCCCCTTCTCTCTTCTGAGACAGAACAATGAGTGTGTGTGGAAGAGGAAGTGGAGGAGGGGTGCGCACAGGTCCCCCCCCTTCGAGTCACCCCGGCCGCCCAGCCCTAGGAGCAAGCGGCAAATGGAAATGTGTGGCCTTACCTTCCTCCATCCCGAACACCTGCTTTGTTACTGTTGGGTTGCTCACGGACGCTGGGCTGTTGGCATTGTTTTTTTTTTCCTTTTTTTTTCCCTTTTGAAAAGAAAAGCATTGAGGAATCTTTTTGGAAAAGATATGGACAACGATTGAGAAGTACACTGATCTCCGCAAGCAGGTGGAGAGGTAGCTAAGGAGGTGTGGGGTGTCACGCTGCGGGGAGGGCAGGCTGGTGGCGAGATTCTGCAGTCAAGGACAGTGACATGCATGTGTAGGGCGGTGGGGGCCAACCCGTCTGGAGGGTCCCAGAGACTGGTCACTGTGGTGACGGAGCTGAGAGCCCCTCCGGCGTGGGGGTGGGGAGAGAGAAGCCGCACACGGAGCACGAGGGCGGAGTGGGAAGGGAGAGAAGGGTGCTGGCAGGCACCCCATGCGGGTGGGCTGCCAGGAGAGGGAGAGGAGACAGTGGTAGGCTGCAGAGTTTTGGGGGACACCTCCAGACCTTTGGACTCAGGGGCCCAGCTTCTGGGCTGCTGCCCTCCTCCCCCAGTCCCGAGCCCCCAGGTCTGGGCAGCTCTCCTACAGCCCAGGTGGGCTCGTGGGGAGAGTCTGGCAGCTACCTGCCAGGGCCGCGGGGGAGAGCTGGGGGCTCTGTGCAGGGGTGGCTGGGAAAGCACACCCCGCAACCTCTCTACTTGGGAAGAATGCAGATTTCGCTCAGTGGGAAAAAGCCAGCTCTAAAAGAGGTTGCTCCCCAGGCCTCAAAGCACGGTAGGGGATGAGGACTAGTTCCCAGCCAAGGGGCTGGGCTCAGAGAGAAGATAGCTTATTGTGCCCTCACATCCTCCAGTGACTCTGTGCACCCGGGAGTTGGGTGCTCGTGTCCCCCTCTTGCAGACAGCAAAACCAAGGAAGAGTAGGAAGCCACCGGCTCTGGCTGTGCAGTCCCTCTGAGAGGGAACTGGGGCAGCTGCAGGCCCCGGGATGGAGATGTCGGCAACTCCGGGCATCGCTGACTGGCCCGCAGTGCTCCCTGCTGGCTGTGACCACCCATTCCCAACTGCTTCTCATTGGGAAAGGGGCCTGCTATCCACAGATGCCCCTCGATGCCATGGCCAGGGTGGGCAAGCCACAGGGGGTAGGGGGACAACGGAAGGAGCAGCAACTACGAGGGAGGCACGAGGCTCTCCTAAGTGAAGGAAAGAGAATGCTCAATCCTCAGGTGGCCCCCACTCCCCATGGAGTCTGGCAAAATTCGAAGGTGTCAGAGGGGGCGTGGAGGTGGCTGCCCTCGTTAGGGAGAAGCAGCTCTGGCTCCCTGGGCACATATGCAAAGGGAGAAGTCACGGTTAAGTCTCTGTGAGGAGGCAGGAGCACGGGCTGGGCTGTGCAGAGTGAGGGAGTCCCTCGGTGGCAGCTCCCTCCCTCATCCCACAGCTGGATACTGCAGCCCCTGTGCAAAGGCAGGGGCGTGCGGACTGGCTCCTGGGAGCCGTGGGTGGGTGGGTGGGTGTGGCTGAGCCCGGCAGGGTGCACCGCGGGGAGAGGCAGAGGATGGAGGCGGACGGCGCCCGAGACAGCATCTGGGGGCCTGGGCACGAGGACACCCCCGCCCCCGTGGCCTTTCCCTGTGGAGTGATGGTCCCCAAGGCTGCTTCGCCCTTGAGGTTTTCCCTGGGGCTGTCCGCTCCCCTGGGTACAGACCCTTTCCTCCCTCGAGGCTGCCCCACACGGCAAGACAGAGACTTCCAGGGACAGGCTGGATGGAAGCCTCTTTTCCCTCATGAGTCACTTTACTAAGTGCCACTGTCTTGGTTCCCCCACGCCCTAGGAAACGCTGGGGACACAGGGACTAGGTGAGCCTTGGAGAAAGCGGGGGAAGCCCAGGTGGGCAAGGGGCCCCCAGTGGGAGGTCAGGAGTGAAGTCCTACTTTGGGCTTGACTGTCTCCAGGCCTCTTCCAGGCCAGATGGCAGTGGGGACAGCTGGCCAGTCAGAGACCCTGAGGGAAGCCCCTTTGGCGTCTGGTCGGTGGGGGGCGGGCATCGTGGAGAGCCCGAGGCTCAGGACTCAGAGGGAGGCCCGTTTGTGGGATCCAGCGGGGTCAGTGAAGGCAGTGCCGTGCGTGTGTTTGGGAGGAGGGTGCCTGGGACCCCTGGTTCGGCCTCCAGGCAGCCCGGGGACTTCCTCCAGCACCGAAGCACAGCATCTACCGGCGGCTCAGCAGTCAGCTACGTTCTGTACACTTAGAGCCTCGCGATGCTGCTCATTAAAGGGATTAGCGGAGCATGTTTATTGGGCCCTGGCTGCAACCACACACCCCAGCCCTATACTAACCACCCAAGCGGCTATGGGGCGGGGGGGGGGGGGGGGAGCATTAGACCTCAGGGCAGAGTCTTACCCTGCATCCACAGCCCGCTTCTGGCAGTGGGAAGGGAGAATGCTCCCCCCCCATCCCCCCATCCCAAGGCTTCAAGGGCCCGGGAAGACGGGAGGGGCAGTGTCTGCCCAGAGTGGGGAGGCAGTTTAGGGAAATGGTTGAGAGCCTAGGCTCCAGCCTGTTGCCACGTGGGAGACTTTGGGCAAACATCTCCTGTGCCTCAGTTTCCTGTGCACAAGGATAATAATGTTTGCTTCCTGGTGTGATTGTAGGAATTAAATTAAATAATGTAATGCATGTAGAGTGCATCACAAAGTGCTTAAAGCTTCCAGCCAGCAAATGTGAGTTACTACTATTGTTGCAATTGTATTAGTGATTGTGATTATCCATAGGATCCTCTGGGTCTTCCCTCTCCAGCAGGTGCCTCTGCCAAACAGGCCCCTATGAGCGGGCCTGCCACTGGAGCTTGGGAAGGATTCTTTGTTTTTAATCAAGAAATGGCCTGCTGAGGAAGATGGCAGATATGTGTTTACAGCTTTTCATTTCCCTCCTTGCCTCTTTGTAAATACCCTTTTCCAAGCTGGAAAATAAATTTCCAACCCTGCTGACATGCATTGATTTTTCCCTCCTACATCTACCTTCCCCATGGGCGGGGCCTGTGGTTAAGCCCCTTGCCTGGGTTGGGCTCAGTGGTACCCTAGGGGAGCGGGTGGCCCCAGAACACAGAGCAGCCAGCCAAACTGCCCCATCCTGCCCACTGCCTGGCTCAGAGGAGGTTTGCAAAAAGAAATAGTTCCAATCCCCTTCTTGGCTGGGGAAGGAGGTGGGGGTGGCCTCTGACTAAGAGGTGAGAGATTTTCAGAACTTCTCTGGATGGAATATGGGGAGAGGAGACCAGGGGATCACGGGACTGCTGCCAAGTTCAGCAGATGGATCCAAATGGGGTCTGCCCCAAGCAATCCACTTGGTCAGCCAGGGGCCTGCTGGGATCTGCTGGCTGGGACCAACCAAGCAAACTGGGACTTGGAGAGAGAAAGGTGAAGCAGGTAGGGGACTTGAATGCATCCTGTGGGGCTGAGCAGGACTGGCAACCCCCTCATGCTGGGATCCTGAGAGACGGCCTGGATGCCAATCAGGAGGCTGCTTGCCTAACACCAGTCCTGGCCCTGGACACTACTGCTCACTCCTCTAGAGTGAGGCAGAGACAGAGATGGAGTTGGCGAAAAATGTTTCCAGAAACCCCGACAGCCCTGTCAGAGCCCACACTCTGGGCTGGAGCCAGCCTCAGCGTTGGCCATTTTTAGGAGGATACAAGGGCAGCAGGTAAAGGAGGTGGCCTGTGGGGGGCCTTGCTTTTCTTCACACTCAGAAATGCCCACCTTGGAGGCCGCCCGCCTCCCCGACACACCTCCCCGCCCCGCCCCGCTCCCAGCCTCACCCTGCGCTGTGGGGCGCACGCACTCGGGCAACCCCACAGGCTGCAGAGCTGACAGAGATGCCAACAGACCAGCATGGCGGTCTTGGGAGGATGGGGCCGGGGGAGACAGAAGGATCGCCCTTCCCTTCCAGCAGGGCCTTTGTTCCCTTCCCAGGCATGCTTGTGGAAGGAAGGAAGGCAGCGTCTTGAAGCTGAGGGGCCGAGGATGAAATGGCTCCTCCACATCCAGATAATAGGAATCCCGGTTTGGGCTGATGGAATCTGGACGTCGAGGAGAAACAGGACTAATTCGGGCCTGGTTATCTCCAGACCTCACACCTATGTCTGAGTGCAGAGCCCTGGCCCACTGATGTTACATTCCGCTGGTGCCTCACCGCCCACAGCCTGTCAGCCTGAGGGCAGCCACGCACCTTCCTTCCTGCCCGGAGTCCCTTTCCACCCCCAGGACTCCCACAACCGTGCTTTTTCTCCCCCTTGCCCAGCTCTCGTCCCGGACCCCCACAGGTACTGAGGCCCAGAATGTCACAGAACGAGGCCAGGACCACATGGTCTGCCCTGCCCTCCACCCCTCAGCTCCGGACAATGAGGGGAAATATCCAGTGCTCTTGGCTCAGGAAACCAGGAACTGCTTCCCTTGGCCATTGGGGCCATGCACGTACCTAAAAACCTTAGGGTTTAGGGGGAGACCCGAGGCCTAGAGAAGACTTTGGGTCTTCCCAAGCATCCACTGGAAAGTTGTGGTCATTTGTGGAAAGTTGTAGAAAGGATGACGGTTGAGGAGATTAGGCAAGCAGACAGCCTCCATCCAGGAAAACTGGGTGGCCTCCATCCAGAAAAACATCCAGTAGGCACATCACCTCTCTTCCCCATCGCTCCTTCCCCCCAGTAGCCAAAGAGGAACCTTATTCATGACAGCAGGCCATTAATATCATGAGGTAGAGGCACAGAGGTAGCTAGATCCCCAAATTCCTGGTGGGGCCAGTAGGGACAGGGGTGTGGCAGGAGATGAGCATGCTGGAATGTTGGGGAAGGGAGAGTAAACATAGAAAGAGAGGGGGAGGGAGGCCTAACGAATGAGGAGGACTCCGGAGGCCCCTGTTCAAAAGACCAGACTCTCACCACATCCTACACCCCCTCTCCATTGGAGCTGGCTGTGTGTGTGTGTGTGTGTGTGTGTTGGGGGCGTGGGGAGTGCAGTATCCGAGTTCCAACAGAGCAAGCAGCTCATGGCTCAGCCCGATTCCTTCACAGCCTTTGAACAGCTGATGAGCAATGGCAG